TGAACCCCGGAAGTCTGATAGGCTTCGGAGGCCGCCGGACTTCTTCGTCCCCGCTACCTTCACCACGGTGTACGACGTGGACGATGACGACGACCTGCTGTACAACGACGCCGAGGAGGATGAGGAGTTTCCGAAGCTCGACCCGGACATGCTGGCCGACCCCGAACACCGTTGGGACATCTCGACGATGACGATGAAGGAGGCTTTGGCGAGCTGGAAGGGCCAGGCGGTGAAGGCCGCCATGGAGGAGGAGATTCGCAGCCTCATCAACATGGGTACATGGGAGCTGGTCGAACGCCCGCCAGGAGTGAACATCATGAAGAACCGGTGGGTGTTGACGACGAAGTACCACATCAACGACACCGTCGAGCGCGAAAAGGCGAGGCTGGTCGTGAAGGGCTTCACGCAGGTGTACGGCGCTGACTACGACGAGACGTTCGCGCCGCTGGGCAGCTACGTCACGCTGAGGATCTTCCACACCATCGTCGCCGTGCTCAATCTCAACCTGATGCAGCTCGACATGAAGAACGCCTTCCTGCAGAGCAAGCTCGACCGGGTGCTCTACATGTCCCAGCCGGACTACTTCAACGACGGAACCGGCCGGGTGTGCAAGCTGCTGAAGAGCCTGTACGGCCTGAAGCAGTCGCCGCTGCTGTAGTACTTGGCGCTCAACGACGTGCTGATCGGCGCCGGGTGGAAGAAGAGCCAGGTCGACGAGGCTCTGTACTTCAAGGTCGGCGACAACGGAGTGGCCTGCTAGGTGCTCGTCTACGTCAACGACCTGCTCGCCGCCAGCAGCAGCACCGAGATGCTGAAGGAGCTGAAGGAGCTGCTGGAGTCCCGCCTTCAACCTTCGTGAGATCTCGCCGGTGGAGAAGTACCTCGGGCTGGAGATCGTCTGCGACAGGTCGGCAAGGAAGCTGTGGCTGCCCTAGCAGGGCTACGCCGACAAGCTGCGTAGGCGCTTCATCGACGAGGAGCAGACTGGGCGCACCCCGAAGACGCCGGTTTTGGTCGACGCCTACGCCGAGCTCACCTTTGACGACAAGGAGGCATAGGAGCGACAGGAGGAGGAGTACCGGCAGAAGGTCGGCTCGCTGCAGTTCGCGGCGACGACGACAAGGCCGGACATCGCCTTCGCCTGCAGCAAGCTGGGGAGCAGCCTCACGGTGAGGAGCGACCAGCACTGGCGCGAGGTCGACCGCTGTCTCGCCTACCTCGCCAATACGCGTGACACCGCCCTGGAGTTCGGCGGTGGACCACAGTCGCTGGAGCTGGTCGGCTACGTGGACGCCGACGACGCCGGTGAAAAGCAGAACAGGACGAGCACGGGCGGCTACGTGTTCGTCTACGGAGGGGCCGCAGTCTCCTGGTCGAGCCAGCGCATCAAGTGCGTGACGTTGTCGTCGACCGAGTCGGAGTACGTGGCGGCCACCGAAGCCGACAAGGAGGGACGCCGCCTTCGCTTCCTTCTTGTAGAGTTCCGGCAGCTGGATGTCGGAAAGCCGACCGTCTTTCGGGTGGACAACAAGTCGGTCATCACAGTCGCCGAGGGCATGGGGTTGACTGGCAACCTCAAGCACATGGAGCGGCGATAGGCCTGGCTGCAGCACATGGTGAGGCGCGGGAATATCTCGCTGAGGTACATCCCGACCACCGAGCAACCAGCCGACTTTCCGACGAAGGCGCTGCACTATCCGGCCTTCAACCGGTGCTCCGTCGCCATCGCCCAGGTGCGCCTCGCCGACGTGGACGACGAACATGACGAAGTGCAGCAGTAGGTGCCATGCCCTCTTGCATGGCTGGTGCGGTGGACGACATGCTGTGTGTTGGGTGCACGTCGACGAGCTATTCTCCGAGGAGTACTGTCGTGTGGGCTGGGGGCCCAAGCGTGAACGAGGCAGGGGAGTGTCAACGGGAGTTGTGTGTGTTGGCCCCGTCCACGCTTGGGCGTAGCCGACTTCGTGGTCGGTTGTGACGAGAGCAGCCGACGTGCAGCAGTGGGCGAGCTGGTTGACGAGAAGGTCGACCTGCACGGGGGCCACTGCACGGGCGCCGACTTTAGGGAGGTCGACCTAGGAAGTTGACCTGCGGAGGACGTCAACTTGGTGGCGTCAACTTGGTGCAGCCGACTTGGGTGGTCGGCTGACAGGACTGCGGGTCGACCTGGTGGTTGGTCGACCAGACCTGCTGATCGTCTTGCTGGTGGTCGACCTGACCTGGTGGTCAACGGAGGAAGGGCCGACGTCGACCTCGACTCAGGATGCCGAGCAGCTGACTGTCGAGTAGCAGGGCGTCAACTTGGTGACGCCGACTTCGGGTAGCCGACTTGGGTGGTCGGCTGACAACTGCACTAGTCGACATGAAGCTGGTCGACCAGGAGTGCTGGTCGACGTGGAGCTGGTCGACCTGGAGTTGGTCGACCAGGGGAGTGGTCGACGTGGTGAGATCGACTTGGAGGTGGTTGTCGACTTGGGAGGTCGACGGGCACATACGGGAGCAGCTGGTCGACGTGGTTGCCCTGTCGACCAAGTTACCTGGGTGACGAGGTTCTGCGGAGGAGTGCGACGGTCGCCCAGGCGAAGTTGGCGAGTCTAACCTCGGTGGTGGTATCCCGAGGTCGACATGGCGGATCAGGTGAAGTCGTCAGCACGAGGGTGACTTGGTGTGTGCGTTGTGCAGGTGACGAGGCTCAGCCCGCCAATCATCTGCAAGCACCTGCAAAGCAGGTGCGCTGCTGTTCTGCGGGAGCAATGCTGGCACGCCGTCAACCTACGACGCTGGCACGCCGTCGACCTTTGCACTGCTGGAGCGCGGTCGACCAAGTCGTGCTGGAACGCGGTCGACCATGTTGCGCTGGCAGTCGACCGACCTGAATGCTAGCTCTGATGTAGTCTTGCCATGCCAACTTCATTGTACCATTGTTGTCAACTTTCTCTAGTGAAATTCTTGCCAACTTGCCCCGTGAACTAGCAAGCAGTGTGTGCACTAGGAAAACGACTAAGGACCAACGTACGTAGAGATCACACGAGCACCCGTGCCTAGCCCGTAGTCTAGCTTCCGTTGTAGTAGTTATCTCTGCAGTTTGCTCAGGTGGTACCCGTACGAGTGCTCTGCCTGCCATGCCAGCGTGCGCTGCACCATCGGCAGCACCCACGCCAGCAGCTGCTCCTCCAGTGCTGCTTCTTCCGTGCTGCTGCTGCTCCTCCGGTGCTGCTCCTTCTGTGCTGCTGCTGCTCCTCCAGTGCTGCTCCTTCCGTGCTGCTGCTGCTGCTCCTGCCCCCACCCATGCCATTCCCCACCCTTTACCTGCGCCCTCTTCCAATCTGCACCTCTGCTCCGCAATGCACAACTGCATACACACACCCCCCAACCCCAACCACAATCCCAAGACCCATCCGTCCACAGCCCCTTGCCTCCCTCGCACCAATAACACCCACCTGAATGTGCAGGGAGCGTTGGCGTTTGCTCAGGTGGCACCCGTACGAGTGCTCTGCCTGCCATGCTAGCGTGCGCTGCGCCATCGGCAGCACCCACGCCAGCATCTGTTCTGTGCTGCGCCGCATCTCAGCCGCTACCTCCACGTCGAACGGACGGCTGCGATTGCTCAGCCGCCGCCGCACCTTGTGCTTCACTGTGGAGGGCAGGTGGCGGTATAGGTCGTCCCTGGGTGTATGGAAAAGGTGGGGAGCGGGGGGAAGGAGAGGGGGAGGGTCAGAAGAGAATAGGAAAGCAGAAGGGATTCCGAAGGGTGCTTGTTCGTGCATCTTGTGCTTTACTGTGGAAGGCAGGTGGCGGTATAGGTTGTCCCTGGATGTATGGTGGGGGGTTGGGGGAAAAGGAGACAGGGGAGGGGGAGGGAAGCAGGGGAGGGGAGGGGAGAGGGGAAGGAGAAAGAATAGGAGAGAAGAAAGGAGAGAAGAAAGGAGTAGAGGTGGTGCTTCTCCGTGTGCCTTGTGCCATCAGCTGCCTGTCCGTGCAGGCAGGGCAGGTTGCTGTCAAATCGACTTTGGGCAGAGGCAGGGAGGAGAGTGGAGAAGGGGGAGGGAAGGGGGGGAAACGAGAAGAGGGGAGGGAAAAGGGGGGGAGAAGCAACAGGCGGTTGAGAAGGGGCCAGGAGGAGCGGTGCGTGCCGGTGCACCCTGTGCTCTATATAAAGGGCATGTAGCGTTGCTGATTTTTTAGTCGACTAAAAAAAGAGGTCGCCATGGAGGGGGAAGAAGAAGGGGAGGGGGAAGAAGAAGGGGAGGGGGAAGAAGAAGGGGAGGGGGGGATGTGCAGGAAAAGGGTTTAGAGGAGGGGGGAAAGGGGGGGAAGTAAGGAGGAGACCGGAGCAAGAGACGGAGGAGAAGTGGGGAGGGTGGAGAGAGAAAGAACCACAGGATGGGGAGAGTGGGGTAGGGCGAGGGGGAAGGGAAGTTGGTGGAAGGGGCTTCCCGAGAACCTGTATATTCCTGCAACGCAACCACAGCTGCTTCTACCTTCTCTCAAAACAGCAACAGCACTTGTTTTCTCTCACCTCTGCGCTGCGCTCTCAGCAGCAGCGTGGGCTTGTTGAGAATGCGGTCCAGACCAGAATCTGCAGCGTGTGCGCGTAGCGAATCGACAACCTGCCCCCCTCCATGTAAGTTCTGAGACGTCACACGCCCCTTCTTACCACACGCGTCCCCTTCTCACCTCTGCGCTCTCAGCAGCAGCGTGGGTTTGTTGAGAATGCGGTCCAGACCAGAATCTGCAGTGTGTGCGCGTAGCGGATCGACAGCCCTGCCAGGTGTTCGGGATCTGATCTGAGGCATCACAAACTCCTTCTTACCCCTTCTTACCCCTTCTTACCACTTTCCCGCCGCTCACCTCTGTGCTCTCAGCAGCAGCGTGGGCTTGTTGAGAATGCGGTCCAGACCAGAATCTGCAGCGTGTGCGCGTAGCGAATCGACAACCTTCCCTCCTCCATGTAAGTTCTGAAACGTCGCAAGCCCCTTCTTACCACACGCGTCCCTCTCTCACCTCTGCGCTCTCAGCAGCAGCGTGGGCTTGTTGAGAATCCGTTCCAGAATCTGCAGCGTGTGGGCATAGCGGATCGACAGTCCCGCCTCGCCCACTGTCCCCGCCACACCCTCCCGCTCGTCCTCTGCTGCGGCCCCCCCTGTGCCGCTGCTGCCGCCTCCCCTCTGCCACTTGAACGTGGAGCGCACCTTGTAGGAGAGAATCGCCACTGCTGCTGCCAGCAGCTGGAGTAGGGGAGGGGATCGGGGGACTGGTGTGGGTGATAGAGCGCCGGAGGTATTTAATTCCCCCCTGCCGCCTCCCTGGTGCCACCTGAACGTAGACCAGTTCGTGTAGGGGGAAATAGTCATCAACTGCTGCTGTTAGGAGCTGACTGAATCATGGTTGGGAAGACTTTAGAGAATTCTCAAAAGGAAGCGGCGTGGAATGGGATAATGGGTGAGAGGAGAAATGGGTGGGAGGATGGTGGATGGGATGTTAGCCGAGGGGAGCAAGGGGAGGGAGGGTGGTGTAGGAAGGTGCTTCTTTTTCTCCCCTCTTCTGCCACGTGAGCACGCCTTGGAGTTGTGGACTTAATGAGAAAGGATCAGCACTGCTGCTGCTAGAAGCTGGAATGCGGAGAAGAGAGGGGGTGGAAGGGGAAGTGGGATGGGGGGAGACGCATGGGAGCCACGGGGGTAAGGATGGTGAGGAGTCTCTTAAGGAACTGGTCAGCAGCAGCACTGCTGTAAACAGGTGGCCATGGGGCGTTGTTCCAGAAGAAGGCAAGCAGGGAAGGGGGGGAAGGGTGAGAGGAAGATGAGGGGAAAGCACGTAGATAGGAAGATGGGTCACCCCTACTGCTTTTCTAAGGTTCCACGAACCGCACTTAAGAGATGTGGGATGTGGGCAGGAGCAAGGAGCTGGCGGGTGGATTCATGGGTGCTTCACCACAACATGCTTGCAACCCACCCATCCATGCACCCACCCATCCATGCACCCACCCATCCATGCACCCACCCACACATGCATCCATCCATCCATGCACCCACCCATCCATGCACCCACCCACACATGCATCCATCCACCCATCCATGCACCCACACTCCATTATCACCCATGTATACATCACCATGCACCACCCTATACGCACCATCATGCACTTATCAAAGTCCTCTACCCACAGGGATTCCTTTTGCAGTCGCCGAATGAGCTTCAGCTGCCACACACACAGAGAGAACCGCAAGGAGACCCAAAAACCCCACAGAACAGACTCACATGGAACAGAACCACACAGAACAGAACCACACAGATAAAACCACACGAGCAACCACAAAGCTTAGTTGGAGCGTCGGAACGCATTAGGCGTGAGCATAGGAACCAGAAACTCTAGAATCATGATCACGCGGGAAGGTAGAATAAAAATTGAGCAGAGCGAATGAACAGGGAAGCGGGAAAAGCAGAAGGGTGGGAGGAGGGGAAGTGGGGGAAGAGGGGGGAAGGGGGGAAAGAGGGGGGAAGGGGGGAAAGAGGGGGGAAGGGGGGAAAGAGGGGGGAAGGGGGGAAAGAGGGGGGAAGGGGGGAAAGAGGGGGGAAGGGGGGAAAGAGGGGGGAAGGGGGGAAAGAGGGGGGAAGGGGGGGAGAGGGGGGTTGGGATACAGGAGGCTGCGCAAGTTGCTAACAGAGAGCATAAGTAGGTGCTGGATTGACAGGTTTTGTTTTAGAGTGCTGAGTGGCGAGACTTATAGTGTTAACAGAACAAAACCAGAACAAAACAGACGAAAAAAACTCCCACTTCCTCCCTTTCGCCCACCCTTCCTGATCCCCTCACCCATCTACCTGCGACTGAATCCCCTCACACAAAGGGTCTGACTTTTGAGTCGACTCAATGTCACCTCACCCATCTACCTGTGACTGAATCCTCTCACCCGGTGGCAAGAGCTGTAGGGACTAGATAGACTAGACAATCAACAATCCCTCTGCCTTTCACCCCATCCGCCCCCCTCACCCCCGTTCTCTCCTCCCAACACCCACCCACGCCCACACACGCCCACCCACCCACCCACCTGTGACTGAATCTTCTCGCGCACAAAAGGGCTGGCGGCAATGGCGGTGGTGGCCCAGGAGGGTGCGTCCTTGGTGAAGCGCGCCATGCGCAGCGAGTGGGACGAGCTGGGGAGGGAGAGAGGGGGGGAAGGGGGATTGAAGAAGGGGGGAAGGGGGTTGAAGATGGGGGGAAGGGGCTTGAAGATGGGGGAAAGGGGGCTGAAGATGTGGTAACGGGGGGAACAGGGGGAAGGGGAGAGCAAGGTGTGAAGGGCATGGGATGGGGCATGGGATGGGGCATGGGATGGGGCATGAATTGAGCTTAGGGTTTCAGAACGGGTTTGAGCTTTGGTTGCGCTCTTTGCATGCCTTTTGAGGCGCCTCAATGGCCGCGCTCTTTGACTGCAAGTTTTGGATACAATTATGGCGGCGGTGGTGCCTTTGCAAATCTCACGCACACACATGTTCATACATGGATGCATGCGTGGACACATACACACGCACAGACACACACACAGCACACTCACACACACACACACACGCACGCACACACACTTCTACGTTCCCCCACCTGGGCATGAGGTTATCAAGGAGCGTCATCTCCACATGCAGGCGATTGGTAGCTGTTACCTTCTTCTCCAGAAACCTGATCGATGGGAGGGCGGGGCAGGATGGGAGCGCGGAAGCAAGAGAGGAGGAGGAAGGGGAGAGGGGGGGGGAAAGGGAAAGGAGAAGGGGCAGGGGGACAGGGACAGGGGCGAATGACTGTTGAGCCTTTTCAAAGATTTCACATGCAGGCAATTGGTGGCTGTTACCTGCTTCTCGAGAAACCTGATCGATGGGAGGGCGGAAGCAGGAGAGGAGGAGAGGACAGGAGGAGAAGAAGGGGATGGGGATGGGGTGACTGTTGAGCTCAGCAAGAGTCTTCCTTCATGGCCATGCGGGCGCCCAATGGCCGACTGGTGGCTGCAACTTCTTTTCCAGAAAAACAGATCAAGGGGGGGAAGGTGATGGGGAAAGTGGTGGGGGAGGTGCGGAGGAGGAAGGGGGAACAAAGAGGGGAACGTGGAAGGGAACAAGGTGCGGGGGGGGGGGGGGGAGACAGGATGATAATCGAGTCGAGCCAGAAGCTTGCAGGTGACTGGTGGCTGGTACGGTGGCTGGTACGGTGGCTGGTACGGTGTGGCTGGTACGGTGGCTGGTACGGTGGCTGGTACGGTGGCTGGTACGGTGGCTGGTACGGTGGTTGGTACGGTGGCTGGTACGGTGGCTGGTACGGTGGCTGGTACGGTGGCTGGTACGGTGGTTGGTACGGTGGTGCCCTCTCCTCTAAAAGCCTCATGGGCCTCAGGCTCGGGGGGGAGGGAGGGAGGGAGGAACACGACGAGAGAAGGGGGAAAGGGGGGGGGGGGGGGGGGGGGGGGGGTTGTGGCAGAGCACCGGGACAAGAGGCAAGGGGTAAGAGGGAAGAGACAAGAGGCATGAGGTGCAGCACGGCACGCAGAAGAGAAAGCAAGGCATGCGATGCAATGCGAGCACCTACTTGTGCCGCCTCAACACAAGGCATGCGATGCAAGCACCTACTTGCGCAGAAATGCCTCTTCCTTGGGCGAATACAGAAACCAGTCCTCCTCACTCGCATCACCACCCCCACCACCACCGCCGCCGCCGCCACTGCCATTGACGTTGACGTTGACGTTCCCCTTCCCCTCCCATCCACCTCCCCCATCCCATCCCCTCCCCACCACCATCATCTCCTTCCCCCTCCCACTCCCCTGCGCCATCCCTCCCCCCTGCGCCCCCCCATCCCCCTGCTGTCCCTGCAACCGCCCAATCCCCCCCTCCCTTGCATCCCCTTCCCTCGCATCCCCCTCCGATCCCCCGCTCTCCCTCTCCCCGCCCTCCTGTGCCTCTCTTTCTCGCAGGTGCGCCTCCCCTTGAGCCTCCAACTCCGCTAAGCGCTGCTTGAGGCGGTGCATGCGAGGGTCTTTGCAGCGCCGTGACAGCACACACACAAGAGATGACAGCACCTGCAACTCCCTTAGGTACTCCAGGCCTGACGAGGAGGCAGGGGGGTGGGCGAGGAAGGAGGGAATGAACAGAACTGAGGGTGCTTGCAACGCCGTGACAGCACACACACAAGAGACGACAGCACCTGCAGCTCCCTCAGGTGCTCCAGGCCTGGAGAACGGGCAGAGAGAGGAGGAAGGTGGTGTGCTGACGCTGGGGGTGATGTGATGGGAGTGGGGGGACAAGAGAAGGGAGGGAAAGGGAAAGAGGGGGGGAAAGGTGTGGAGGGGGAAGAGCAATAGAGGGTCACATCACAGGCAGTTGGCAGGGTAAGTGCAACACAAGGGAAGTGTGCGCCCTCACACACGTGTTGTGAGGCACCTCAAATATGGTAACTGCTACACGTGAGGAGAGAGGGGGCACACACACACACGCATGCACCTGCAGCAGGGTGGGGGAGAAGGGGAAGGTACACGCTCCACATCCACCCACATTCTCATTCACCCACACCCACCCACACCCATCCACAGGCACCCACACCCATCCACACCCATCCACACCCATCCACACCCACCCACAGCCACCCAAGTGCAGCAACGGGGTATGAACCCAGGTCTTCCTCGTGTGAGTCATCCTGTCTGTCTCGTTCCCTGGTGATATCTACCTCCCTAGCATCTGGCGCAAGTCATCTCACCTGTGGACTGCTGTCCCTGGCCCTGACATGCGTATTTTCGAGTCGACTAAAAAATACTCGTTCCCTTGTGATATCTACCTCGCTAGCATCTGGCGCAAGTCATCTCATCTCACCCGTAAGACTCCTGCCCCTGCCCCTGCCACTGACCTGCGAGCCTCCAGTGGCGCTTCTCATCCCCTGGAATCATCTTGGTCACTCCGTCCGACTGCACACGCACAGGAGGGAAGGAGAAGGGGAAGGAGAGGGGGGGGAGAGCGGGGGGAAAGGGAGGGGGGAAAAGGAGGGGGGGAAAGGAGGGAGAAAGGGAGGGGGGGAAGGGAGGGAGAAAGGGAGGGAGGAAGGGAGGGGGGAAAGGGAGGGGGGTGATGGCGGTTTGGTGGATTCTTGGATCGACTCAAAAGTCAGTGGCGCTTCTCATCCCCTGGGATCATCTTGGTCACTCCATCTAACCGCACACGCGCATGAAAGGGGGGAGTCAAATGGGCACGAGCGTGTGTGATCATACTGGGAGGCGCGGAACCACAGAGCTGCTGGTATCTGGAGGGTTCTCGAACGAGGATGGAAATTCGCAACACAGGGAATGAGGTGACTTTTGAGTCGACTCAAAAGTCACCGCAGAGCTGCTGGTATCTGGAGGGTTCTCGAACGAGGATGGAAATTCGCAACACAGGGAATGAGGTGACTTTTGAGTCGACTCAAAAGTCACCGTAGAGCTGCTGGTATCTGGAGGGTTCTCGAACGAGGATGGAAATTCGCAACACGGGGAATGAGGTGAACAGATCGATATGAGGAGAAAGGGAGAGGAGGGGTGTGGGAGAGAGTCGGAAGTGGGGTGGCGGTGAGCAGGGGGCATCGATGTTACGAGCCATAGCCATGTAAAGGACAGGCAAACTGGCAGTTATAAGACTCTGCTCTGCTGCATTCTCCTGGACTGTCAACAAGAGGCAATCTCCCTCCACCACAACCCACCCCCCTCCCTCACTCACTCTCTCCCCCTACCCATCTCCTCTCCCTTGCCCCCTCATCTGCCCTCTCTAGTCCCCCTCACGGTCTCACCTGCAGAATCTTCCTGAGGTGGTCCATATGTGCGGGTTCCAGCAGCCGTTTCAGGTGCCTCAAAAGCCTCCTCTCGCCCCCCCTCACCTGCAGAATCTTCCTCAGGTGGTCCATACGTGCGGGCTCAAGTTGTCCCCACAGCTCCAGACTGCGAAGCATTGTCAAACGCCAAGACCCCCATTGCCTTCGCCTATTCCCCATCCCCCTCATCCCCCTCACGGTCTCACCTGCAGGACCTTCCTCAGGTGGTCCATGTGTGCGGGCTCAAGTTGTCCCCACAGCTCCAGAGCGCGCAGCATGGTGGACGCCACTTCAAACGCCAGGATTCCCATCCCCTTCGCTCTGCGCCCGCTGCCAAAGCTGCTGCTGCTGCTTCTCGTGCTGCTGCCCGTGCTGACAGTGCTGCTGCGGCTTCCCCGGACGAGCAAGCTGCTACTGCCACCACCACCACTGCTGCTGCTGCCGCCGCTGCCTCTGCTGGTTGTGGTGGTGGTGGTGTTGGTGCTGCGGCTGATACGTATACTGCCATGACCATCTGGGTCGCTACTTTGCACCCCGCTGCTTGCCCCGCTGTCACCGCTGCTGCTGCTGGCGTCACTGCTGCCCCTGCTGCTGCCTATATTGGCCCACGCGCTCCTGCTCCGCCCCAGTTCTTTGTGGTGCCTTGGAGAATCTAACCGGCTCATATCATCACTCCCAACATCACCAGCACCAGCACCAGCACCAGCACCAGCACCACTCCCATCACCAGCATCAGCTGCAGCTGTAGCGAAATCATCTTCCCCTGCTCCTCCTCCTCTGCTGTTGCTGGTACCGCTGCTGCTGGCGCCATCAGCAGCAGCATTACCCTGCCCTTTACTCTCCTCCTTACTCTCCTCCTTACTCCCCTCCTTGCCCTCCTTCCATCTCTGTTTCCGCTTGCTTGACCTCTCATCGTTGCTTCGTCTAAAGCTCCTGCTGTCGCCACCACACACAGCAGCAGAAGCAAGCCCTCGTGCACTCCCCCTGCTGCTGCGACTTCGAGAGGCGAAGGAGGAGAGAGAGCGACTGAGGGGCGGCGAGTGGGAGGAGGAGGCGGAGGAGGGAGAGGAGGAGGAGGACGTGGGGGACCCTTGCGCGTTCTCGTTCCCGCCTGTCCCCGATATAGGGTCACCCGTTGCAGTGGAAGGTCCTGCTTCGAGGAGCGGAAGCGAGGGGCGAATGATCACGCTGCCCGCGCCGTCGGGCAGTCTCGGAAATATTTTCTCTGTCACGACGGATACCATGCTCTGCTGATTCCCCATTGCACTCGGCCCGTTTTTTTAATAATTTTGAATTTTTTTAAGACGATTCTTATCAAACGGCTGACCTAATCTGCTGCAGAAATGCGCAGCAGGAAAACCGGTGACGTCCCCGTGCTGCTGGTTTCGAATTTCACCGAAGCGATTTAAAATCCTAATCGGTGCTATCGAGGAACTTTAGAATGGAGATCTTAGCGAGAGGATTCTCGGCTGACAGGCGTCTAGTCGAAAAGCGCTTCCAGTAGCGAGTTTAGGGTCTCGCATCGCGTGAAGAGCGTTTCAAGCGACGACTTTGCCACCACTTTCCGCCTTTGCTTACGCCGTTCCATCCTGTGCCGATTCTCGCGACAACTTGCACAGCCACTTGCACGCTAGAACTATAAGAAGGAACTTGTAACCAACAGTCGAACTTCTAGGTTTGAGGGTGTCAGCGGTAACGCGAAGAGAGGTGGCAGTACGGCGAGCGATGAATCAACTGCTTGCGTGTATCTCCGGAGCGATTCCTGAGGCGCTTCGAAGGAACAGAGCCCGCGGCACGGAAGTCGTATAATGAGGGAAAGGTCTGAGAAGGTGCTCGTGGGAGGCTAGCTCTGACGCATACTGGCGCGTACTGGCGCGTACTGGCACGTACTGGCGCGTACGGCTCGAACGGTTCAGTACTGTTGATGGCGAAGCGCAAATTAGAAGTGAATCGAGCACTCCTGAAACGGAGAAGCGGCACGCACGAAGTAACTAGGGGAGCCTTAATAGCGAAGGTGCTATCGTGGAATTGGAGACAACGGATCATCCGTTGTAGGTCAACATCGGACGGACGACACAGCACGACACGGGAAGGCTGTCGATATGCAAGACGATGTTTCAGGAGCCTCGCCTTCACATTCTAGTAATGCGGTCAGCGTGAAAATACTACGCTGGGTCATCGCGACAGCATGTATGGAGCGGAAGGGGCAAATGCCGGAACGGAATACACCAACAATGTACTGTAGTAGTTAGTAGATGGCAAAACAATGCGACGCGGCGCCCGTACGTAAGACTTCAATTATGTATCTAGTGCTATTCCCACGTCGGCAGCTCGTTCTGACTGGTAGGACAGGATAACACAAGCTGGCGGCTAACTCATCAACTCAAAGCACCTCACTGCACAACACGGTTTACGGGTTGATGCATGGATGCAGGGGCGTGGGCTGTTTTGAAACTCGATGAATCCTGGCCGTTCATACTTTCCAACCTGTTACTTTTTGGGTTGCGTAGCAACCTTATACATTCGTTTTCACTTTTCGGTTTGCTGACGTGAACAGTGAATTTCTCCCATCAATTTTGAAAGAAATCACTGTTCACCAACTTCCGGAAAAATGGAAACAAATGTTTCCAATCATTCCAAAATCGTCGATAAGTACGGCGAATGGAACAATTGGACAATCTTTCTAGCACTAATGACGATACCAAATGACACACGAACACAAGGACAGAACCACCGAAAGACACACATACACAAATGGTCACAAAAGCAGCCGGGTACAAGAACCGTCGTACATGTTTTGGGGGGAGTGCAAAATGCATCGATGCAGCAATTGAGGTTGATATGGTACGGAAGAGGCGAGCAAAGCTGCCCCACCGACGATCACAATCTCAGTTGCATACACGAGGCACTCGCACACTCCCAAAACAAGCACATGCGATAACACAAACAAACTGGTGCAGAAACAGATAACGATTGAGAATGTTTCAACGCGAATACTAAATGCATCAATGCTGCAACTAAGATTGATATGGTACGGAAGAGGCTAGCAAAGCTGCCCCACCGACGATCACAATCCGAGTTGCATTCACGAGGCACTTAGCACCACACCTTGAAACACACACAACACATGTACACATGTACGCACTCAAACATACAGGCTCACACATACGGTACACAACGACACACACGCAAAAACATACAGCTACGGTAATAAGCATGCAAGCATAATGAATGGAGTTCAGCCTTGTATAAATCATCACTAGCTTGTCCCCCATTCCCCCCCCTCCCTCCCTCCCTCCCTCCCTCACTCCCTCCCTCCCTCCCTCCCTCATTCATTTCCCTTATGTTCTCCCTTCTCCCAATCCCTTTTGTCCGCAAGAAACAAGGGCTGCAGCTTTAACTTCCTGCGCACGAAAGAAGAAACAGCAAATGCAACTCACTCCCTGCACAAACAAAAACGAAAACTTGCATGAGTTGCACAAGAAATCAAAATCAGCGAGTGCAGTTTCCTTGACGCACAAGAAACAAAAAACAGAGAACGCAGCTCACGCATGCACTAGAAACGAATTAAGAACAATAGAAAATGGTGTTGAAGAACGCATAGATCAATAAAAGACAGCAATTAGACTTACACAACTCACGGTGCTAATTTGGAACAAGTCGTGGCACCACAGATACTACACCGGAATGATGCAATACCTTGCAGCTACCCTCGCGTTCAGCTTCTCAATCACATTTGCACTCAATCACACACGCACAAATACTCTCAACTTTATTAGACACTCACATAAACAAACATTTAAATCTACACGCTCATTGTTGCACAAACCCTCGCACTTATGATCGTTCTCATTCACAATAACACTCACACAAAAACTTACATGTGCATGCAAACACACTCGCACGCACCCTTGCAATAACACTCGCACTTGCTCTCGCACTCACTCTGGCACACACAGTGGCACGCACTCTCATCCTCGCGCGCACACCCTCTCATCCTGGCGCTTTCTCATGCGCTCTCTCACGCACTCTCTCACGCGCACTCTCACACGCACTTTTTCGCGCTCTCTCATTCGCACTCTCACGTGCACCCTCACGTGCTCTCCCACGTTCTCTCTCACGCGCACTCTCAGGCGCATTCTCACACGCTCACTCACACGCTCTCTCACGCTCTCTCACACGCACCCTCACGTGCTCTCTAACGCGCACTCTCACAAGTCTCCCATGCGTCTCCCACATGCACTCTCATGCGCACTCTTGTGCGCTCTCTCACGCACTTGCCCACGCGCCCTCTCACTCGCTTGCGCACGTGCTCTCTCACGCGCTCTCCCACGCACTCTCTCACGTGCACTCTCACGCGCGCACTCTTTTGTGCTCTCTCACACGCACTCTCGCGTGCACTCTCACTCACGCTCTCTCTCACGTTCTCTCTCACACGCACTCTCACGCGCTCTCTCACGCGCACTCTCACGCGCACTCTCACGCGCATTCTCACATGCTCTCTCTCACGCTCTCTCACACGCACTCTCACACGCACCCTCACGTGCTCTCTAACATGCACTCTCACGAGTCTCCCATGCGTCTCCCACATGCACTCTCACGCGCACTCTCGTGCGCTCTCTCACGCGCACTCTTGTGCGCTCTCTCACGCACTTGCGCACGCGCTCTCTCACACGCTTGCGCACGCGCTCTCTCACGCACTCTCTCACGAGCACTCTCACGCGCTCTCTCACGTTCTCTCACACGCACTCTCACGCGCTCTCTCACGCGCTCTCTCACGCGCACTCTCACGCGCATTCTCACATGCTCTCTCACACGCTCTCTCACATGCTCTCTCACGCTCTCACATGCACCCTCACACGCTCTCTCACGCGCCCTCTCACGCACACTCTCACACGCACTCTCACACGCACTCTCACACTCACTCTCACGCGCTCCCTCTCGCGCACTCTCACGCGCAATCTCACACGCTCTCTCACGCGCACTCTCACGTGCACCCTCACGTGCTCTCTAACACGCACCCTCACAAGTCTCTCACGCGTCTCCCACGTGCACTCTCACGCGCCCTCTCACGCACTCTCACGCGCACTCTCACGCGCACACTCACGCGCACTCTCATGCACACACTCACGCGCTCTCTCACGCGATCTAGCACACGCTCTCTCCTGCGCTCTCTCACACCCGCTCTCACACGCACTCTCGTGTGCTCTCTCACGCGCTCTCTCACGCGCACACTCATGCGCACACTCACATGCCCCTTCACGCGCTCTCTCACGCGCACTCTCACGCGCACCCTCACGCGCTCTCTCAC